TTTGGAAGCGGCAGCGAGGTTCAGAGGCTTTCGCTCCGGCGTCGCCAGCCAAAAAGGGTGACGGCGTTTTAAGATCACTTGGGGCCCCACATTTCAAAAGGAAGACAAGAAATAGCAGCTTTGGACCCCAGAGCAACGGGGCAGCCTAGGACAGAGCAGCTGGCGAAGCAGAAACGCACGACGTATAACCCAGGAAGAAAGACATCACCACGAGTGTTCTCTACTTTGACAATTCGCATTAAATAAAACTCTTAAGTGCTTTCCTATAAACAAAAAGGATGCTCATAAACCTCCTTCTGGCACAAATATTTTCCTATCAAAGCCCTGTAAACATGCCACCAAAATTCAGGTTTTACCAGCAGAGTGAGCTCACTAGAAACGCAAGTGAAATCAGAAAAACAAAATTCATTTGAAAATTTCTAAGTAAATACTTCCTAAACAATATGGCATTTACATCAGTGTGCAATATATTAATTTCTGAAAGTGATAACTTCAGCATGAAAATTACTTACCTGTAATTAAAGTTTTCCATATTGGCCAATACATAAATCCTGATTTTTGGTACTGCATACTTTATCTCTGAAATATTTGAAATGTCGTGTTCCAAATCCAAGTCAATGCACGGAAATACTTCGGTTATAACCCAGTCTAACAAAACCCACCTCGGCCACTGAAAACAGGCGGAGGAATGTAGTGCTTAGTGGAGTGCAGAGGAGTTTTGGAACTAAAACAGAGGTGGTAACAGAAATCTGAGGCGCTGCTGTGCGTGTATAAAGTTAATTCACAAGACGTGAACTGCACCGAGTCACAGAAGCAGTAACTGCTTCAGTGTCTCCATTTAGGGCAAATAAACAGTTTAGTGTTTGGGGGGATGCTCCCTTTTATTTAATTAATGCTGGAGCTGTAGTTTTTAGGCAAAAAGTACTTTCTGGTAACACCCTCCTCCCTTCTCCCCAGAAAAGGGAGTTGTAGATGCAACCTGAATTTGCTTTAAGAGGCAGAGCAGACACAGCTCTATGCACACCTACGCTGGGACAAACTGGGCAACGTCTCAAAGCAACTCACGTTATACAAAGAGCTTTAAGAAAAAATACTGAGGTTTACTTTGAGGCTCATAGCAATGAAGATGTGGTACAGAAATATCTACAGCACCTCCCCTTCGGAAGCCAAATGCAAATCTGATGTTTCACAAGTCTCTGTTGCCCAATGTGGGAATATTCAGGTATTACCAGATTATTTCTATCTCCTCAGGTGATAACCTACGCAATCCTGAATTTTTCACAAAAAATAACGATCCTTTTTGCTGTATTAACTCTGGTAATGATCTCAAAGATTAATTCCTGTAAGACGTCGCTGGCAAGCAAAGCTACCGGAGCAACAAAGTACTGTGTGATAAAATCACCGCCACGTTTAGCTTCATCCAGAACTGAGCTTGCTGTGCGTTGGACAGAACATAAAAAGGTTTCTCTGTGTTCAAGTGCATGAACAACAAGTGAATATACTCTAACGAAACTTCAGCTGATGGAAGAGGTGCCACCAAAACGCACGAGCTCGTTGATGGTCAAACCGCCTGAGCAGTAGCGTAACGCCGACCTACTCGGAGGGAGCTGGCGGGATTGCTCCCTAAGCGAACCAGTGCAGAAGTCAAGAAGTCAGCGTTTCCTGACAATACTGCTGCACAGTTTCAAGAGCAAGAAACTGCGGTCGGTAACGGGCTCGCAGCTCTGTGCAGACAACGGCTGACGTTAATGAGGAGTGGTCTGACCTTCATGGGAGGCCACCACAGCAAAGTGTGGAGGAACAAAACACTTTGGTTCTCTTTTTTTTGTTTTTCCAGAGGCTCGCATTTCTCTCTAGACTTAAAAGCAGCAGCTTTTGGTAAGCTACTCTCCTCGGGAGTGCTGTGTTTTGTAGAAAACATTAGAAGGATTATCATCATTTTAGTGCTTGACAGGTTTGACTTCAATTTGTACATCAACAGCTTTCACCGTATTGTGGTTATGCTTAAGTAGAAGAACACTGATCGACAGTTTAGATGCACAGTATTTATTTCTTCTGCTGGAAGGCAACTATACTTAATAACTGTATCCGAGACACTTCAAATCATTCAGAAATACGGCATGCAGTATCCAAAAGTATGGCTCTGAGGATTTTTTTTGTTTTTTGTTTTGTTTTGTTTTTTTACATTAAGCATAAAGAAATTTTATATTCAACATTCATTTATATTTCAAGAAAACTACCTATTCAGAGTTCTAGTTCTTTGATGCAGCATTAAGGATTAAAACTTACCACTTTACCAGGCCTTGCCCATGTGCAAATAAATCCCTCCTGACAAGCAGTGACTATACAGTCTTCAAGAAAAATTAACACAGTCAGTCTTTCATGTGCTATCTTTTTACAGATAAGAGGCTCTAACAAGGGAACATCTTCCATTCGGGGACAGAGAGGTGTTCCCAAAGTTTTAGCTGGGTCCGTTTTGGTTTTAGTAACTAGGTTCAGTTTGTCACTGCTCTTGCTAGATATATGTCCCATGCTATGGTTTCTCTTGTGATCTTTTTCGTGGTGTCTTTCCTTCCGATCGTGTAGCGATAAGGTTGCAAATTTACTAACGCCAGAAGCAATGGCACCATCCATGACGCTGCTTTTACTGCCAGCGTTTGAGACCGCAGAGTGCGGGAGGCTGTTGGACCGCGGAAGAGGAGGGGGCACCGAGTTTCCAGGCGTGCCGATGCTGTTCCCGTTGCTTCCCGGGTTCGTTCCGCCGCTCCCAGCAGGCGGACTGGTGGCATTCATGACATTTGTGTGTGTCCTTGCTCTTGAGAGAGGTTGGTGGGGGAAGAGGATATCTTCTGTAAGATCCCACAAACACAGCTGCGTGTCCTGGCCTACCGAACCAAACCTATACGTCACGCTTACCGGACGACTGTCTGTAGAGTTCCTTTTGGATAGCCTAGATTGTGTGCTATTGGCTCGATCTCGGCCAAAATGAAGGTCTTGGAAATCCTCATCGCTTCCACTAAACTCCATCGGGTCGCTCTCTTCTACGCTAGTGGTATAGGGATCGAACGCGACAACGCTGACCCACGATTTGTGGCCGTGGCCTCTCGCTATGACTCGACAGTCCACGAAAGACCAAACGGTCACCAAGTCATCCTCTCCGCCCGTCACTATGTACTTCCCGTCGGGACTCCAGCACACACACAGCAGTCCTCCAAAGTAGCTTTTCATCGTACCGTGCAATTCCACCGAGTCAAAGTTAAACACGCGCAGAAAACCATCCTGGCTCACGCACGCCAAGAACTTCCCGTCTGGGGAAAAGGCAAATTCGTTCAGGGCACCCTCCCCTACTGTCCATTTAAGCAGAGGGTTTCTGGTGGATTTACTCTTGCAAGTGTGAACTGCAAAACTGTCTCCTTGTTTAAGTAGCTGGTAGTGCGGGGCTGTGGTACCACAAGTGTGCTCCACGTTATACAAGTACATATTGCCACTGGAGTGAGCTACTAGGAAAAGGCTTTCCGAACCTGGTACCCATTTTACACAGGTTACTCTGGACTTGTCTATTAGTCTCTGTGAAAAACAAAGAAGAGACACATCAGAAAAGTCTGAAAATTTAAGTTTTAATGATTAAACCGTAATTCTGAGCTTTCTGGAGGATGGGGAACGATACTGAACCAAAGTGAACTCAACTTTCTGGGAAGGAGCTGTTACTGTATTGGCAAAAATTTATCAAGCAGTAAAGAGAAAATTACTTTGAGACAAAGTGCTACCAAAGATCATCATCATTATTACGGTCCAGACACATTCCACAAAGAACATACTTCAGTCTGTGGTTATGAATCTAAAGGTGGTGTTTTCTGGTTTATTTTTCGCTGTGTAGGCTGAAGAGCGTGAAAAGGAAACCATCAAGAAAACACAGAGCGAGCTGAAGGGAAAAAAGGCAGTTACTCATCTGTACTACATAGCAAGCAGGTTACAAATCAGCAGCGGTAAATTTAGACTGGTTTTATCTGAAACCACAATAAAATCTTTGAAAAAAGAGGCTTTAGAGCCTTTACCACTTTTACTTATTCAGGGAGCAAAAGCTACGCACACAGCAACCCTGTTAGCACTGGCTGGAAAGTCGGTGGTTAAATGCACGTGGCTCGGTGAATTCAGGGGCACCATCCCCTCCCTTCAATTCCTTCTCACTCCTTAGCCAAGGACCTGTCAACACCCTCAGTTACCACCTGGTTAAGAACTTCCCTTTGAAGAAAACCATTTTAATAGAGCCCATCACTGCAAACGAATGAACACACATTAAATGAACGTTCCTGGTCATAACACCTTCAATGCTGCAAGAACTGAGAGGCAACGTTTGACTCCTTGAGTTTGCTCGTGTAGTTCTGGGGGACGTTTAAAACTTACCAAGTCGCCGTGGCATCACTCAACTGCAACCTGGGGACAAGCAATTCTCTACATGCACATTCAAGACTGGTATTTGGCACAGATTCACTACTGAAAGAGCTGAGCTACACAAAAGGCAAAAACATAAATACAAAGACTATGGAAACACCAGAACAAGTCACAAGGGTGTGAAAAAACACAGAGGGGAAAAAAATCCCCAAAACCTCTTGCTATGCCGTATTTCACAAATAAAAAAACCCCAAACTCATGGATAATACATTGACTGGTATCCATTCTGGGCCTGTAACTGGAGAGCAGCACCTGGTCACTTTAGGTTATACTTTTGCATATAATTTTGCTGCTGTCAAGCTCAGCGTAAGACCAGGAAGCCTCTCTCCTGTAGTTTCTCATCAAAATTAAATTTTGTATTTGAAAGCTGAGAGATGTAACTTAATCTGGGAACTTTCCCTCAAGTGTTGCAGCTTTAAAACAACACATTCTTAGCTTCTGCTGTCTTATTTTGACTAGCCCATCATGTGTTCATTGATAGGGATCATTCGTGTCTCAGTAATGACGACATCAGAAATTAATTAGAGGGTTACCTGGTACACACCAAGAGAATCTGGACAGGGAACGTGAGCCCAGCTCAAATCTTCTCATCACAAAACTACCATTAATGTGGCAACAAAGCAAAATTTCTTGCTCTCCTGTCCTAGAGCGGCTCAACAGGACACGCAACCTGTACTCGTAAGAGCAGCTGCTCAACTCTTACACCAGAAATGGCACTGTAAGTCCATAATCATGTTGGGCTACACGATCTTAAATACTGTACAGACATCCTCATCTGGGTGTTCCTGCTCCAGCAGGGGGATTGGACTGGATGAGCTTTTGAGGTCCCTTCCAATCCCTAACGGTCTGGGATTCTGTGATCCTGCAAACCTCATCTTTGCCTCAAGGTAAAGACTGCAACCTGCCACGAGAACAGATCAGCTCAGAGAGACAAAACGCAGAGACTTTAAGCTGATACATGGCAAGTGACTACAACTCATCCCCTTCTCAGCCAGCAGAGCTTTAAATTCAACACAAAAATTTATAGAACTCTGGGAATTACAACTTTCTGAAGTTTTCAACGCTTCCAAGTGGACTCTCACACTTCTGCAGCACAACACAAGGCCTGAGTCAGGATGATGGGCAGATGTGTTACAAGAACAAACTGAATGCAGTGCCCAGTAAATCAGTGGAGTAGCTGGGATAAGGAGCTTAAACTCTGTTTGGTAAAAGAAGAGCAAGAGAAGGAAATTCAGTCACCAGGAAGAAAAGCCCAATATGATTATCTTGGCAGTCACGTTGTGAACAAGGCTGAAGGGACAAAGTTATCGGCGTAGGCCACAATGGCTGGAAAAAGCCCAGGTAATCAAGGAATATGCGTTAAGGTCTGGCAAAAAGCTTTGGCAACACGGGAATAGGAAAAGTGCATAAGGGGAAAAAATGCAGCTTAAGGCTTTAGTTTAAATAAAAGGAAAATTAAAAAATGAGATGAAAGAAACACAATTCAGCTAGCTAGCTCCAGAACCGCCAACTGTCACCTGGAAACAACGGAACCTGTGCAGCACACTCGGCCGTTTTGGGAACAAGAAAACATCACTAATGTAATTCTGACACAGCCAGAAGGAACAGCACTGCTGACACAGATTGATTGAGGTGGGCAGGCGCAAGCTGTGCGGCATCACTCATCTCTCAGGGCCCTGCAAGCCCCTGTTGTCTTCTACATCAACAGAATTAAAACACAAGAAAGAGTAACAAGTCAGACTGCATTAAGGCTTCAACACAGCCTTCTGCGACGTAACGGGCTGAGTTCTTTCATGTATCACATACCATGAAGTGCTGCTCTGATTGCTTTACCACAGGTGATAGTCAACACAGAGCCTTGGGCTACCTGAACCGC